CTCCATGTCCTCACCAAATGTATATGTGACAGGGGTAGAAGCAAGAGCTAGTCTTCCCCCTTAACATCTCAAAACCCAGGCAGGCACATACGTGCAAATGCTGTCTTTCTGAGGTCTGACCCAAGCTATAATGTACAGGGTATTGTAAACCACAACTGCATCAAGCACCCTCTCACTAGTTCTGCCTTCCCAACCATCTTTATCTCTCCCCCCTCCTTCATGAAACCATCAATTCCTGTCTGCTTCCTCCTAAATTTATCCACTACCAGTTCAGCCAGGAACTTTTCTATCTGATTACTTGAAGAACATAATGGTTTTAAGGGGAATATGTTGTTGCTAATCCTATGCCAAGTAATCTTATACAGTGGGCCCTTGTTATCCGTTAGCGTTTGGAACTAGGACCCTCCATGGATATCAAAATCCATGGATGCTCAAGCCCCATTAAATACAGTGGCATAGTAAAATGGTGTCTCTTCTATAAAATGGCAAAAATAAGGTTTGCTTTTGGAATTTATGTTATTTTTGAGTATTTTCAAGCCATGGATGGTTGCATCTGTGGGGGGAAAAATCTGTGGATACAGAGGGTCAACTGTACTTTGCACAAGGTGCTGCAGAGTGGTGACTGATGCCTTCCATATCTGTGAATCTGTTCTGAGATTTGGTCTGAAATTTGAAAGAGCTGTCCAAGGTTCCCCTACGGTTCAGCACCATGGATAGATCCTGCAGTGATCATACTAAAACACAGGGCTGATTCACTGCCACATTGAAATGGAACCCAGTAGCCATCACTGGTCCAGCATTTCCATCTATGAACAATTACTGAAGAAAGTCAAGAAAGAAGTGCAAAGGCACATGTACTGTTGAACATTAAAAAAACAAAAATAATGATCACAGACTATTTATACAAATTTAAAGCAGATGATGCAGACATGGAAACAGTTCAAGATTTTACTTATCTTGACGCAACAATCATTAATAAGAATGGAGGCTGCAGTCAAGAAATCAGAAGAAGACTAGGATTTGGAAAGGCAACTAGGAAGGAACTAGACAAGATCCGTAAGTGCAAAGATATATCATTGATACCAAAATTAGGATTGCCCATGCCATTGTTATTCCCATTTCTCTGTATAGTTGTGAAAGCTGGAGAGAGGAGAAAGCTGATAGGAAGAAAATCAACTAATTTTAGTTGTGATGCTGGTGCTAAAAATGCAAATAAATGGGTCCTAGAGCAAATCAAACCTGATTCTCCCTAGAAGCCACGATGAATAAACTTTCAGTCTTATTGGATGAGAAAAGAAAGCCAAAACAGAGCAGAAGAGTAGTGTCTTCTCTGTACCTCTCCAAATGCTGTCACAGAACTTCTGTTGTTGTTTTTTTCAAGGGAGACAGCTGTAAAAGCATGCCTTACATCAAATGGATTTTTTCCAGCACAACAAAAGGCAGGCTTTCATTACTGTCTCTTTCAGGAAGAGAATAGAAATACTATGACGGCAAGCAGAGAGGCATGGAGAAAGCTGCTACTCTTCTGCTCTGTTTCATGTTTTTTCCTCATGCAATAAGGTTCTGAGGCTGTTGTATTTTAGCCATATTGTGAGAAGATATGATACACTAGAAAAGACAATAATGTGGCCTTCATACTGTGGCGAGATGTGGCAAAAACAGTCATCAAATACTGTGCTAAGTCGGACCAAATCATATCAATATGACTCCACAGCCTTTAAATATCACCATAATCCAAGTATATGCACCAACCACAGAGGCAAAACAAGAAGAAATCGAGAGATACTATGAAAGAGCCCAGGAAGAAATTTATATCACTCCAACACAGGATGTCATGATGATCACAGGTGAACAGAACACCAAAGTAGGAAGCAAAGAATCAAAAACAGTAGGAAGATTCCGATTAGGTAAAAGAAATGAAGCAGGTGGGCATCTGATAGATTTCTGTGAGGTCAATAACTTATTCATTGCAAGCACCTTTTTAAGCCAACCAGAGAGAAGACTATAAACATGGATACCACCAGGTGTCCAACACAAAAACCAAATAAACCATAGAACAGGAAGCAAAAGATGGAGAAGCTCTGTTCTGGTGGCCAAGACTAGGCCAGGTGCTGACTGTGGTACAGACCACAAACTACTTATATCAAAAATAAGAGTGAAGCTGACGAAGAAACCAAAACCAGTCATTATACCAAGATGTGATCGGAATAATATCTCAACAGAATTTACTGACAATATAAGAAACAGATTCGCACTATTAAGCATAACTGACTGAGAACCAATAGAACCATAGTCAGAAGCCAGGGGCATAATAAAGGAAGAATGCAGACAGACATGTTCAGTGGCCAAAACAAAAGAGAACAAACAATAGATGACAAATAAAATGCTTCAAGCAGTAAAGAAGAGAAGCAAAACAAAAGGGAGACAGGAACAAAATTAGAACCATGAATGCACAATGACTAGTGCTAAAAGATAAAAACAACTACTACAATGAGCAATGCAAAGAAATAGAAAACGAAATAAAAAAAAAGGAATAATGAGAAACCTCTTCCTCAAAATCCAAGAAATCAAAGGTAAGTTCAAACCAAGGGCGGGAATGCTCTATGACAATAAAGAGAACATAATTCAAGACCAGGAAGAAATAAAAAGACATAGAAGAGTTATATAAAAGAGATAAGAAAATGAAAGACATGTGGAACAAAGAACCATATGAAGACAAACCCCAAATTCTAAAAAGTGAAAAATGAATCAGTAGGAATAGATGATATTCCAATCGAACTGCTACAATCCATGCAGACAGAATCAACTCTCGTGCTGACATATGTCAACAAATATGGAAAGCAAGACAGTGGGCTACAGATTAGAAATAATATACATTCCCATCCACAAACAAGGAGACACAAAAGACTAGGAATGGGGAGGGTAGCTATGAAAGAACTAGAAAAGATCCTAAAATGCAAAGATATACAAGTGAGCACAAAAGCTAGAATCATACAGGCCACTGTATTCCCTATTACCATGTACAGATGCAAGAGCTGGATAGTGAGGAAAACGGGTAAGAGGAAAATAAATTAATTTGAAATGTGGTACTGGAGAAGAGTGGACTGAGGATACTGTGGTCAGCCAAAAACAAACAAATGGGTCCTAGGAAAAAAATCAAGCCTGAAATCTCCTTTGAAACAATATGATAAAGTTGAGGTTGTCATACTTTGGCCACATAATGAGAAAGCATGACAGACTGAAAAATACAATGATGCTAGGAAATGTTGAGCAATGCAGAAAGAGAGGAAAAGCACATGCTAGATGGATGGACTCTATTAAGGAGGTCTTGGGTATGAATTTACAGGACATAAGCAGAGCAGTGGCACATAGGGAATCTTGGAGATGTCTCATCCACAAAGTCACCATGAGCTGGGATTGACTCAGAAGCAGTAAACAACAAAGGCAGTAAGACAAGAGGAAGACCACACATATACACCCCCCAATTTTTTTTAAATGCCTATCAGCTATCATATGCAGTCCTTAATTCCCTCTTTTTAAAGAGTCTCCTAAATAGACACTCATCTAGTTTTTCAACCCACCCCAGAAACTGGTCTAGAATCTATACCCGTGAATGTAGTCCTCAAAACAGTAAACAAATTTGTTACATTGTTTAAAATGTAAAGAAATGAAAAAATAATAATTCCTTTGTTTGCTCTGAGCCTTTACTCATAAGGACATCTGACACACCAGTTTTGGGCTCAGTAGCTACAAAGCACCTGATAACAGTCTTTATTCATCCTCCAATAACCTGGCACAGCAAGCCACCAGATATTCTGTGAGAGAAATGCACTCTAGACAATGAAAGGCATACAAAACCAATGTCATTTTACAAGAAGAGGGAGAGTGAATTATGGGCACGCAGCAGCACCAAAACTCACTCCACTGACTTGATTTGCAAAACACTTTGTACACTTCAAAGAGTGCTTAAGGAAAAAAACAAGGAACAAGACAGGTCTTTTAGCCACCCAAAATACAAAATGCTCATCTTGCAGAAGAATGTGATGAGACAAATCCACCCCAATAGGTAGGTGCCCTTGAGAAGTATTTGACTACAACTCCCATCATTTTCAGTGACCATGATCAGTAGCCCTGCTATGGAGATTAGAGAATGGGTGTCTAATCCAGTTGGAAGACGCCAGGTTGTGGCCAGCTGCCAGGGGTGCTGTTGCCATTATTGTTGTCGTAATTATCATTGCTATTATCCCTCAGCTCTAGTATTGCCAGGTTTTCAAAACAGCAAGGAGCAGCAGAAGAAATCCATGACATGCCAGGTTGACAATCAGGAAATAGCTATTAAGTCTGTGTTCTATCAATACCAATTGTGTTATATTGTTACCAATATAACAAACAAATGTATTAATTTCAGATAACCTTGCCATGGGGTTCACTGTACATTTAACATATTGTCCATATTCATAAATTGCTCAATGCCTATATTCCTGTCTTTATGAAGGGCCCACACCCAAAAATACAAGATTGTTTTTATTTTATTTTTATTTCTGGCATCTCGTTCACTCTAGGAAAAGGTTTCCAATCCTCATACAGGGGGTATCCCTTATAATAGTGGGCACCTGCCAAAGCCAGTGTGGTGTAGTGGCTTGGATGTTGGACTAGGACCCTGGGAGACCAAGGTTCGATTCCCAGCTTGGCCATGTAAATCTACTGGGTGATCTTGGGCAAGTCACACTCTCTCATCCTCAGAGGATAGCAAAGGGAAACCCCCTCTGGAAAAAAAAATATGCTAAGAAACCCCTGTAATAGGTTAACCTTGGAGCAGTCCTATAAAGAGCACACTTCCAGACCCACAAATAAGTGGCACTTTATTAAGCGGGCCTAAATCATGTAAAGGCACCAGATCCTATCTGATCTTGGAAGCTACGCAGTCAGTCCTGGTTAATATCTGGATGGGAGATGGTCAATGGACACAAGGTGTTGTAGGCCATATTTCAGAGAAAGGAGTCAGTGTGGCATAGTGGTTTAAGTGCTGGACAAAGACTCTGGAGGCCAGGGTTCAAACCCTGACTCAGCCATGGAACCCCACAGGCTGACCTTAGGCAAGTCACACTCTCTCAACTTCAAGAGGATGGCAAGAGCAAACCCCCTATGAAGAAACCTGCCAAGACAACCCAGTAATACATTTGCCATAAGTCAGAAATGACTTGAAGGCTACCAACAAACTGGCAAAACCATCTCTGAGTATTCCTTGCCTAAGAAAACCTAAAGAAATTCATAGGGTCACCATAAGACAATCCAAAGACACATATACGCACTTATAATAAAAGGAGCAACCTCAATCGCACCTGAAGAACCTGAGACCCATCGGTTTGGGATGCCACCCATTTTCCCACTCAGGTCTACAATCCTATGGGATGAACACTTCACTGTATTTATTTGTTAATATACCATATAGTCTTTCTGGAGTAAAACACTGCTTTTTTGCTTGGGCTATCATAATTCGTCTGAATTTTCTGCCAGAGTGGTTTAGTGGTTTGAGTGTCGGACTATAACTCTGAGAGACCACTTTGATGACTGACAGCTCAAGGACAATGGGTCTTGCACAATGTTTTGCATTATCTATTTGCCTGTGTTTTTGTTTCATTTTGATTGTATTGCTAGTTTAATTACATTTTTCGTTTTTGTATGAGGTAAAATTTTAGTTAGAGAGTCAGCATGGTGTAGTAGATTGAGTGTTGGACTAGGACTCTGGAGACCGGGATTCGAATCCCGGCTCTGCTATGTTAAACCCACTGGGTGACCATGGGCAAGTCACACTCTCTCAGCCTCAGAGGATGGCCATGGCAAACCCTCTCTGAAGAAACTTGCCAATAAAACCCAGTAATAGGGCTGCCTTAAGGTCGGAAACAACTTGAAGACTATCAACATCAAATTGGCCAGACCATCTTTGATGGCCTGAACAGACTACCAGAAATAATCCAGCTTGAGACCACTTTAACTGTCCTGGCTCAATGGTAGGGAATCATGGGAACTGTAGTTTTTTTCTGAGACATTGAGCCTTCTCTGTCAGAGAGCTCTGGTGCCACAATAAACTATAGATCCCATGATTCCCTAGCACTGAATCAGGGCAGTTAAAGTGCTCTCAAACTGGATTACTTCTGGCAGTCTGTTCAGGCCCTGAGTATCCCTTGCCTAAGAAAATTCCATGGATATCATAGGGTCCCGATAAGTCAACCTGAAGGCACACATGTGTGCATTATGTGTTGTTTTGCCTTCAAGTCGTTTTGGACTTATGGCAACCCTGTCACAGGGTTTTCTTGGCAAGTTCCTTTAAGGAGAGGAAGGACGCTGTGGACATCCTCTGAGGCTAAGAGAGTGTGACTTGCCCAGTGGGTTTTCATGGCCGAATGGGGATTTGAATCCTGGTCTCCAGAGTCATTGTCCAACATTAAAACATACTTACAATAAGTGGAGCAACCCCACTCACACCTGAAGGACCTGTGACCCATCGGTTTTGGACAGCGACACTGCCACTCACCTTCCAATCCGGGTCTACGATAGTCCATATAGTCCAATCCATATAGTCCTAAGACTACATGGTACTCAGGGGTAGGCAACCTTTCCCCTTTAAGGGCCGAGGGACTTCAGTTCCCAGAATCCCAGGAGCTATTGGCCAACGTGGGACTATTGGCCAACATGGCTGAGGCTTCTGGGAGCTGAAGTCCCTCGGCCCTTAAAGGGGAAAGGTTGCCTACCCCTGTGTAAAGAGATCTTGTAGCACCTTTGAGACTAACTGAAAGAAAGAAGTTGGCAGCATGAGGTTTCCTAGACTTAAGTCTATTTCCTCAGATGCATTATATGTTATGGTACATTATATGTTATGTGATAATGTTCCATATAGTCCTTCTGGACTAAAACACTGTGTTGTTGTTGTTGTTGTTTGCTTGAACTACCATAATTCTTCTGAATTTTCTGTCAGCGTGGCATAGTAGTTTTGAGTAGTTTGACTCTGGGAGACCAGGGTTCGAATCCCGGCTCAGCCATGAAACCCCATTGGGTTACCTTGGACAAGTCACACTCTCTCAGCCTCAAAAGGAAAACAATGGTGGCAAATCTCCTCTGAAGAAACCTGCCAAGAAAACCCAGTAATAAGGTGGCTGTAAATGGGAAACAATTTGAAGGTTATCAACAACGACAAAAACGACACTCACCTTCCCTCCTGGTCAACCGAACCCTGACTGTGGCGGCCATCGGAGAAGGGGACAAGCGTCCCCCACAAAAAGGTGCCCTTCAGGGTGACCAGAGATGTCCTCCTAACCACCAAAGAGGACCAGGAAACATAAAACGTAGGACCTTCAAGACAAAATTGAGAATCTGACCCAAGAAAAAAAAGCTCAAAACACTCCTAGTAAATTCATGGCTTCTTAGTCCTGTTCAGAATGGAGGACTTTGGAATCCCTCCTGGAAATGGAGGGCAGGTGGTGGAAAAGGAGGACGTGTCTAGTCACCCTGAAGACACCACAAAATTCAGGAGCTTCGAGACAAAATGGAGGACGTGACCCAAATCAAAGCTCGAAACACTCCTAGAAGTATAAAATTCGTGATTCCTCACTCCTGCTCAAAATTGGGATGCCTCCAGAATGAAATGGAGGACAGGTCCTGGAAAAGGAGGACGCCTCTGGTCGCCCTGGAGGCACCACGAAATGTAGGACCTTCAGGACAAAATGGAGGGCCTGACTCAATCAAAATAAACACTCTTAGAAACAGAAAACTGGTATTTCTTAGTCCTGCTCAAAATGGAGGACATTCTGGAATTCCTCCAGGCTGGAATGGAGGATGCATCTGGTCACATTGAAGACACCACAAAATGTAGGACCTTTAAGAGAAAATGGAGGACGTGACACACATGGAGGCGGGAAACACTCCTGGAAATATAAAATTGATGCTACTTAGTCCTGCTCAAAAACTAGGATACCTCCAGGCTGAAATAGTAGACAGGTCCTGGAAAAGGAGGAGGACACCTCTAGTCGCTCTGGGAACACCACAAAATGTAGGACCTTCAAGAGAAAATGGAGGACCTGGCCCAATCAAAAGACAATCCTAGTAGAAACATAGAACTGGTGCTTCATAGTGCTGTTCAAAATGGAGGACGTTCTGGGATTCCTCCAGGCTGATATGGAGGACGGGTCCTGGAAAAGGAGGATGCCTCTAGTCGGCCTAGAGGCACCACAAAATGTAGGACCTTCGAGAGAAAATGGAGGACCTGGCCCAAGCCAAGCCTGGAAGCACTCCTGGAAATATAAAAATTTGTGGTCCCTTAGTCCTGCTCAAAATGGAGGACGTTCTGGGATTCCTCCGAGCTGAAAGGGAGGACGGGTCCTGGAAAAGGAGGACGCCTCTGGTCGGCTTGGGGGCCACAATATGTAGGACCTTCGAGAGAAAATGGAGGACCTGACCCAAACCAAACCTGTCAGCACTCCTGGAAATATATAAGTGCGGCCCCTTTAGCCCTGCTCAAAATGGAGGGCGTGTTGGAAGCCCCTCCTGGGCAGGGGGCTGACATGGAGGACGCGTCCTGGAAAAGGAGGGCGCCCTGCCCTCTCCCTCTCCCTCTCCTTCTGCCGCAGCTGGACTCACCGGCTCTGAGCTGGAAGGAGCCGTCGGCGCGGCTGCACCAGAGCGCCCGCTCCCCGCGCTGGAGGATGTAGTGGTCCTTGGCTTGGAAAAGCTCCATCGGGACCGGCCCTGCTTGGCGCGCCCGCCCGCCTCCGAAACCAGCAACGCAGCCACAGAGACGCTTCAAGCGAAGGCTTCAGAGGAAAGAATGACGAGGGCGCACGCCGCGCGCGACACTCCCCGCTGCCACCGCTGGCTCTACGCCCCGCCTTTCTCTGCCCAGCGGCCGCTCTCATTGGTCCTCCTCCGGCAGAGGCAGGTTCCGGCGCGCTCGAGACACCCAGCGCGTGACGTCAAGCCGAAGCGGCTTCTTTCTTTCTTTCTTTCTTTCTTTTTTTTCTAATTTAAAGGGGCCGTGACGCCTTAGTGATGGATCATTTGTTTATCTGACCTGGTGAAAAGCGGAAAGGAGGTGACGTCCCTCCAGCCCCCAAACTGTGCCCTGTAAGAGATTTTGGACTTCAGTTCCCAGAAGCCTCAGCCATGACGGCCGATAGTCTAGGATTCTGGGAAATGAAGTCCAAAATTCCCTTAAAGAGCACAGTTTGGGGACCGCAGCTGGTAGAGAGAGTCTCTTCTGTGGATGAGCGAAACGAATGTCGAAGGAGGGCGGGGGTGGATGGACTGCACCAAGTGACATATTAAAGAAAGGGGGGGTGACACCACTGGTCCCCAGATATCTGCCATTTTGGCAGACTCTTTGGCGTTTCCCTTTAAGAGGATGAAGACATGGAGTGAGTGAGGCTCAGTAGAAGGCGGGGGGGGGGGGGATAATGTTTAGAAAAAATAATGTAATTTTTTAAAAAAAAATTAAACAATTTAATTTTTAAATTAACTTTTAGATAAAATATTTTTTAAAAATATTTTTTAGGAAAAAATGCAAAATGTTTTAAAAATTAAACAATTGTAATTTATATTTTTAAAAAATAATTTTAGGTGCATAATTTTAATTTTTTTATTTAAACATTAATTTTTAATTTAAAAATAATTTTAGAAAAATAATTTTAATTTAATTTAAAAATTAAATTTTAATTTTTTTAAAAAATGATTTTTAATATAGAAAAATAATTTTAAAATTTAAATAGATTTTAAATTAATTTTAATTTTTAAAATAATTTCTAGGAAAAATAATTTTAAATAAAAAATTTTAATTTTTAAACAAAATAATTTTACAAAAATTAATGTTCAAATGTGTTTTCTTTTAATTTTTTTCTTAAAAACATCACCTTACCCATTTTTCACTTGAACCACATGAAGCTATGTACGTGTAAATACATTTCAGCTGTGTGTATGATGTTGTGTGTCCCTTAAGTGAGAGGAGAAAGGAGAGGCCCCATAATTTAAATCTTTAAATTAAAAATTATTTTAAATTATTTTTAATTAAAATTAAAAATATTATTTAAAATGTCTTTTAAAAATCACATTTGGCTGAATTTTAATGTGAACCACATGAAGCTATGTGCATAAAAATACATTTAGGCTGTGCGTGTGATTTAAAGGTTTAAGTTTAATTTTGCTTTTGTCACAACTCTTTCCATTACATTCAGTGCTATATGGTAGTTATGAGTAATGAGTAACATAAGTACCGGTACAAAAACATTGCTGTGGCTTCTGCATGGTGTGCTATAGGAGGAGGTCAATGGAGAGGAAAACACCGGGTGACGCCAACCCTAGGGATGCCACTGGGCTAAGCAAATCAGTCTGATTCACTCAGAAAATATGATTACGCTGCCTGTATATCTGTTTTTCTTGTTTTGCTTTTGTCCGAAATGACTTGTTTGGGACACCGTTTTTCTCCTACATTAGCAAGACCAAGTGTGGTGGAACAGTCAAAATATCAGATTAGAGCTAGGACAGGTCCTTCACCCTCAATTCATCCGTGAGGCTCCATGGATAACCTTCACCTCCACTAACATCCGCTCTCACCGTCCTCACAGGGTTGTTGTAGGAATAACATGGGGAGGTGAGGGACTCATATCATGCCTTCAAAACTCTTTAGCAGAGAGAACATATACAGAAGTTTTCCTCTTGGTGTTGTTGTGCACCTTCAAGTCATTTCCGACTGATGGTGGCCCTATCATGGGGTTTTCTTGGCAAGATTTGCT